TTATGATATAAATATATATATATTTTTTTAAGGAAGATAAACAGACTCAAAGATTGTTTCCAGTAGTTAATTCTCGCCCACATAGATACAATCTATATATAATGTTATTCATGGGTTTATTTGGTTGGATATATATATATATATATATATATATATATATATATATATATACATTTGGGTGAATGACCTTACTATGTGTATCGAGTATATAAATAAAGATGTACAAGAGATTATGTAATATAATATAAGGGTATATAAATTAGAAATTATTTTTTTTCAGTGATTGATTTTTATGACTTAGGTGTAAAGGCATACATAGGATCAAGTGTGAAACAGCATTCACTCTCACCCCATTTTATATATAAGTATATTTATATACTGGAATTTTTATAGTTTGGAGTTTGAATTATCGAATCAGTTGTCTAGAGGTTAAGCGTTCGCGCGCAACTCAAAGCCTAGGGTTTGATTCTTATGTGAGAAATCATGGATACACATTGCTGAGGAGTCTCATACTTTGAGGAAATGACCCTCTAGTGCTTCCAATCTTCAATGGTGGTCTAAATTAAGTCAGCTCATGATTTCAGTGAAACTTAACAGTTTCTACACCCTCTTACTGACAATCGAAAAATAGTTATTACTGAACAAGGCTTAAGGAGATTGTTGAAATTCACAGTTCACATCACAGATTAACTTTAGCTAAACAAACATTGGAAACTAGGAGGGATTAGATAGTTTTATACAACTCTATACCAGTGTACATTAACGATTTCATTAAAGTTTTGATCTTCAAGTCTTGCGATGAGCGCCTCACCTTTAGACCAGTGAGTCAGCACTCAATGGTGTACACATTGAACTTCGGGTAATTTGTAAAATCCAACGACCATTCTCAGATACCGTAAATACGTCGCCCCTGATATGGATGAACTCCAACAGTCATGACTTCTCACTCGAACTCATTAAGATTCTGAGTCCTCTTACCAGTGGTGATGTATATGTGCATTGTCAAGAAGATGCATACTAAGAGAAGACACTTGCATAATGAGCACTGGCTTTGAGTGGTTGCTGAATATTAGTTCGATATGTAAAGTAAATAAAAATGATCACTTGGAATTGTTTATTCATCTGTACCCAGGAATTTAATTTAATTATGAATAACATAAATTATGATTTTAGGAAAGTAGCTATTGATTATATTTCTGCTATTAGAAGCATTTCACAATACACGGTAAGTTGTTTGAATCTGAAAAGCGGTCATTGAATTCGTTACGAATGTGTTCTTTATCCCATGATAAAAGCATGATCATTTACGAGACGAGTAACATCAGTTCAGTATTTCCTAGTTTTTAAATTGACACGAACTGTCGATAACAACTAAGTTCGCACTTCAAACATGGTAATCAAAAAGCAGAGATGGATGTTTGGGAGAGTGAATTCTTAAAGCAAAATTTATATATCAAGTGAATATCTTTAAAATGTTCTGACTATGATAGGATAATAAAGGGATTTAATATGTCAGAATTCATGCTTGTTAATATTTGTTTGGAAATATTATTGTTATCACAAAATAAACAGAAAAACTATAAGATTAATTAAATTATAGAACTTGTAATTGGTGTTTAATTACTAAGTGGCGGTTTGAATATCATCTTAGTCGCAAAGTATCGAACTGTGATGCCAGTCCGAAAGTATGTAGGGGTCTCAGTTCCCTCAAAACTTTAGATACACATTACTGACTAATACCAATGAAGACGAGGTCAAGTAGTGTTTTGACAACTACCTCAATAACCTAACATCTCAACATAGTATATGGAATAATAAGTCATTTAGATTGGCGGACTCATTGGAACATGATCGATGGAATTTGATAAGCATGAAAAAGCTAGACAAACATTGGGTTACTCATTAGTGAGTGACCAATCGGTTGTCATTTTTATTGACTGGAACTGTCTTTAGACTGAGGCCACAAATAAATGAATTTACGTTTTTTAAGTCGAACAGAAAAGCTAAAACTACCAGATATGTGCACTGTTCTTTTCATTGTACACAGAATACTGTAAATAAATTTGGTATGACATTCTTAGCCAAAATATGAGAAGCTGGACCGATTACTACATAATGCAAACAAGTTTTCCGACATTGCATTGATACTACTTATACCTGGTATAAGTAGACAGACACTTATTGACTTAAAATTAGTCGAAAAACAAAGACACATGTACAATTTGTTTCTTCAGAATAAAAATTCAACTGAAACGGAACTTAAAACTGACAACACTAGGGGTTGATGAGATTTGGTTTCATGTTATGTCAAATATGGATGATCAATATCCATCGACTGTGTTAATTAGATGATGGTGGTGGGGATTGTTGAAGGATCATTTTAGTTTCTCTAATTAATATATCTGAAAGGCTAATAATGATGAAGCGTGAGCAAATAATAATAATATTTTCTATCTTCATTTAAATTCAAGTGGAATGCTGTTAGCTTTATAATTATTATTCAGGGATCCAGTTGGAAAGAGACAAATACACAAGTAAACATGAAAACCAAATATTTATTACAAAGATATGAATTTAGAATAACACTTCGGTATAATGTAGCGTGAACAATGAACTGACAACAGAACTCCCAAAGAAATGATAACAATCTTAGTAAAGAAGCATACATAATACAAGAGTTGGAAGATCTTGTTTATATCACATCTACACAGTCATTCTGTTGTAGATGGTAAATGTAAGTGATGATGGGTTGATTATGCGTGGGTAAAATTTTTCTATAAAGTACTTATCTATGCGAGTGACTAGAAATCGCACTTCGATTATTCTTCCAGACATCTGATATTAATCGAGGTTACGGAAAATTATCAGTTTGGTGACAATATAATGGTAGGTTTGATCTAATGAAGTATTTCGGTTAAAATTTATAAATATTCATCAATTTTCATATTTACTTAACGAATAGGAATTACCAATCATTTGACATTTCTTTGAAAGTTCTAGAAATTCCAAAGCGGAATAATCTTCAAGTTTTTAGTTGGTAGCGTGTTTCTACTATTGAAATCGAAAGTTGTGATGATAACTATTGGTTTGGTATGTCCGACTATATGCTTCAGAACTGCCGCGACACTAACCCTTTGCAACAACGCATAACAAATCCTACCGTTTGAAGCTAGACAAACATACCGACACCATAGACAACTAAGGATGCGATAAATTATCGACTTTAGCCTGAGAGATATATTCACGCCGTCTGCACATCACAATACAGCTCAACACAAAGAGTGGATGGAAGTACAGGTGTGGCGGCCGATTTCTGCGTGTTCTTAAGCTTCGTAATTAGCTCGTCCAGACAATCGTTACTAACTAGCGTCTGACGGTTTATAAATCAGAAAGTGAACACAAAGTGTTGAAAACGTTTATTTTTGACACACCACAACAAATAGAACAGCAGACTACAAGCGCGAAAAGGCAAAATCGTTATGAGAGCGCCAGAAAGCAGGCAAGTGAGTGAATAGGCGAATGAACGGATGAAGAGAAGGCTAGTGTGCCAACTTCCTGAGATACAGCATGACTAAGAATTTATAGTCACACAAAAATAAGACAGACATGTGATCAACGAGATAGGCATGCACACACATGAATAAAAGCGACGAATAGTTCACAAGGTCAAAAGACAAGTGGGACAAGTCACGTGAGCTCATACAAACCAGACAATAATAAGAACGAATGGTACATATAAATTGTTGCTACACAAATAACTTGGTTAAATAAAATAATGTAAAGGGCTTAACCAAATTAAATCTAAGCGAACCCGAATACATGTGGAGGCACTACACATGGTCATATGAGATTTTTAGAGAAGTATACACCATACATGTCTGTTAGTTAGTCAGCAACAACGTAGAACCACGAACATACGTACTTTATTTCAAATTGCCATTCCATGATAGCACAGAGATACAATTGTCGATTCAAATTGCATAGTGTAGAGGTAGTAAAAGTATGAGCAGTAGTCGGAAAGATTAGGGTTCGAAGATGTCATCCAAAGAGTATAAATTCAGTGAGATAAATTTGAGAAGAGGAAGATGAAAGTCATGAGGAATTCAGGTTAGAATTTGAGAGAACACAAAGAGTGAAGGCACCTGCGCCATTGCACACGATTTTCAGCCATATCATTTAGTCTCTAACCATCAGTTACTAGCATAACGCGAACCCTAACCAGGTAGTCTACACCTACCTATATGGCTCAGTCTACTTGTCAGTGACTACATAGATTTGTGCCATGTCTTGGTCTAGCCGCTCCTAGCTTTCTTTTAACCTCTTCCTACTTTGCGTCCAGATATCTTCTGAAATGATTACCTGCTTTTAAAAGATTTTACACTAATGTTTTCTTTTCAGGTCAGGCACTGATTAGAGCTGTGCTCATGTACGTACATTCAATGTTACCAATTTTTAAAAGTTCAAATTATAAATAACGCACAACTGGATACTTGGGGAATGTGAATATTATCCCCACCCCAACCCTTAAAAACTATCTATAACAGTGACAAATAAAAATTTGTAAAAAATACATTATTTAATTTTAAATCATAAAAAACTTTTAAAAATGGTTTTAAAAAAACACATACATCAATGGCTTTCCGATTGTTTATGAAAATAAGAGTAAGCAGATGCAAAACACAGACACACACACACACTATAAAACCAAAATGCAAGAAGTAAGTAAGTTCCAGTAGAAGAAAAAAGGAACTCATGGATTAAGAATTAATCACTTGAAAAAAAGGTGTATATTGTAGAAGCATCTGGATCTGAATGCCAGTAAGATAATATAGGAAACAAAATGTAATGTAATCAAGAAGAAATAGATTGGAGTACATACGAACCAATGTGTAATTTATGAATAGAGGAGGTTAGAGGAGTTAAACAAGTACTGCACTATATTTACACACTAAAAAAAATTATACATGGAATATGAGGAAAAACAAAAAAGGTAAAAGCTATTATACATATACATCATTGGTAGATTTTCTCACTGCAATTAATAATAAATATTGAATTGCTAGCAATGGATTCGGACGAAATTTGATTGGACGAAAATGCCAATCCAATTCACAACTGTAGTAAATGAATGAATCAAGTAGAAAGAAAACAAAACAAAATCAATGATATTTTAGTTGTAAATATAAATAAATACACATTGAACAGAATACATTAAAAAGAATTAATTTTATGGTTAGGATATTCACCAAATATCCTAAGAGAATTTATTTTGTAAGTCTAATTCCTATTGGTCGTCCTAACTATCAATGTCACATACTTCAAGTGTTGTTTCCTATTCGACCTAACTGTATACATATGCATTATCTGTAACGTTTTATGATCCGAATCCTTATTCTCTTCTGGACTCGAACCTCACATTTTCTGGGTGCTTTTAGAATATACTTTTTACTTCATATCAAGACGTCTTCTTCCACTGAATGGGAGTTTGGGACGCTCGGATTAGATTAGCCTGTTGTGTAGCCGGATCATCGATCCTCGCTCTCGTTTACCGACTAAGATGAACTCGTCATAGTTCAAGCATATCAATTGACATGGTGACCTGTATTGTGTAACAGTTACCGACAACTGAACGAAGAAGTGATGACGTCAAACAACTCCTAAAGGAGTTTAAGGAAGTAGAGCATTAGTTTCAGCCAATTAAAATGAATTATTGCTTACATAATAACGCTTGGCTTGAACAGTTAGGAGTTACTAGTGATAAGAAATAGAATGGAAGAATGCTTTGTAGTTTCAGTGACGAATATATAATACACAGTTAGTCTTCGAACTGTCAAAGCTGGATAAGTCAACCTAATACATACATTATTTACAGTTTGTGTTTAATTGAGTATTATGTTATCTCATGAAAAGTTAACTACATGCTGATTGTCATGTTGAGAATCACTCATGTTTATATCTTTAAATTCTTATCGTCTAATGTTCATTGATTTTATGCGCTTAAATATTGGTAAATATTGATTGCTTCTGTTTACAGCTCACTTAGATCAATGAAGTAAGAAATATCTATTATTGTATTTCGCCCAGAAATCTTAGCAGCTGTAATCGTAAAAATCAGATTAGCTTGTCAGTGAAGTATAATTTGCCCTTTTTATCTAGAAAAAAAACTTAAAAAGCTAGGTAATTCATAATGCAGGTGACCTGAAGACAAATCACTGAAAGTATTTTCATCACAGTAAACAACTTTCGAAATATTAACAATTTCAAATTCATTCATTGTCAGACAGACATAAATCATCAACATCGAGATGCATGTTGATTAGGATAATGAGATGAATTCGTTGTGTAGTGCACACTGAAAATCAGCTTGTATGTTTTAGCCCAATATGTTGGTTACATTCACCAGGGACAATCTTTAAACTACTACTTGATACAGTTAAACAATTCTGAAGTAACATTTCAAAAGTATATCTTCACTTTTTTTTAAATGAATAAAATCGAGAGAATTCTAAATCTTTTATCACTAAGTTATGATAGCCGATTCGATTCAACAGGTGTTGGATAGTTGACAAGTTCAGGAAAATTTAATCAATCAGTGTGTTTCATAAAACTTATTTAAAGAAACAAACTAGATGACACATTAATTTTTTTCTTTGTGATAATTTTATTAATTACCGATTTCGCAATGATTCTTATATCTAGTAAAGTTTCCTGACATGTCATCATCTTTACATTGTTCATAGAACACATTCTACCAGTCAGTTACAACGTAGAACTTCGTAGGTACGTACGTACACACTCTACCAAGTGATAAATTAACTATTGTACAGGATATATATATATATATATATATATATATATATATATATAGTTAAATCCCCTAGGCTGCTACATAAACCCAGGAAGTTTGATCAGTTTGTTATTGTTATTATCTGGTCCACATACTACGTAAAGCCTGGAAATTCTATACATCGAAATGTTTAACCTGTATTAATGGTGAATATCTGAGAAAATAAAGCAGTAAAAATTCTCTTTTCTAATTAAAGTATAAATTTCTTTGCTTGTTTTCGATCATAGGTGTCTTTGAAGCATTGCTCGTGTTTCGTGGGAAACCGAGTAAGCAAAGCTACTGTTAAAAAATGAGTGCTAGATAAGGATGGAAGATCGATGGATGAAGTATTGAAACTTCATTTGTTCAGGTGGTTGGGACATGTGTTATGTATGCCCAACCACCGACTACCTCGTTGAGCTATGTTTTGTGATGTAGAAGTAGGTTAGAAGAAAGCTAGTGGCGGCCAAACCAAAACATGGCAAAAATCCATAAAGTTACTGACAAGTGGACTGAACCATGTTGGTCGGTGTCGTTACCTGAATGTGATATGGCTCAAAACCGTTTGTATTCCCTCAAACCCTAACCTTCTGAATTCTTCATCACCTTTATCTTTTTCTGTTTAAGTTTTATTTCACTAGATTCTACTTCTTGAATAATATCGTCGAACCCTAATCTCTCCGATTACTGCTAATACGTTTACTACCCCTCTATTACTATGGGATTTGAATTGACAATTGCATCTCTGTGCCAATGTAGTATGGCGACTTGAACTGATGTACGTACGTACGAAGTTCTACGTTGCTGTTGATGCTGATGATGAAAATAAAGTTTAATATACTAGAAAATCTGATCACTATTTTCATTGTAATTGTCTTGTCACATTATAATCTCTCGAATTTTAAAAATTGAATACAATTGATTGATTGGTTGATTATCTAAGCATTAAAATTATAATTTTAACATTCATTCAGTGTAAAAAAAACTAGTTCAGGCATAAAAAATTACTAACCTGAGATGAGCACGAAGTTTTTTCATTTCAGTATTCGATGCTTTTAAACGAACTTCATTAACATTGAGAGAATTAGTAGAATCACCGGTTGGATCGAAATTAAGGCGAAATCGAGAATGTGGATCAGATCGACGATAAAGTCCTTCATAAATTTCTTGTAATGTAGGCAATATACAATGGTTATCGGAGAATAAATGAGAAGGAGCTGAATTGAATATAAGCGCCAGGACACAACAAGTACGACTGAATAAACGTACACTCTGAAAAAGACCAGAAAAAAAAAGTTACGACAAACGTGCGTGGTGTTTTGACTATATAATTTGTGGTGTATGTTGAGCCCACAGGGCCTGCCATCGCTTTCGGAAAAACTAATTAGATATTTCTGCCCAAGTCATTATTCACTAGTCTTTCGACTTTGTCAATCATTCGCTCATATCTTGGTCGTTTTTATTTGAGCCTGTGTGTGCACTGCTTACTTCGCTTATGGCATGTTTGGCTTATTGTTGTCTGACTATAAATGATTAAGTCATGCCTCATTGTATGGAATTAGCTCGCTTGCCTTCAATTTGCTTCGCTCTGCTTTTTGCTTGTATGCTTTTCATCTGCCTGTGTGAACGAATGCATAAAATAAATTCATCCGCACTACTGTATATGGCTTCTTATTACCACCGTCGCATAAACGACGTTCGTTCAAGTATGATATACGGAAATGGAAGAGGAGATTCATTTCATAGCATATTTAATTGTTCAGAGTCAGATCGTAGGCCACTAAAGTTTAACGGAGCTACTAAAAATTTCTTAAAATAGAAAATGCACGAAATATAAGTAGATATGATTTCACAAGGAATTATGATTATTGTTTGCTTCTAACTACGGATTTAGAAGTAAATAAATGTGCATTGGTTTAATTTTGTAATAATAAATAGAAATTTTTTTTACAATTTAGTAAGCTGCTAGAGAACAATACTGTAACTGCAAGTATCAGACAATTAAAAATTGCCATATATACATCTAAAACGAATTTTTTTAAATGAAGCAATGATTAAGTTCTAATGAAATGTGTTCATTAGCAAAAAAAAACCCAGAAGTATTCTCTACAACACAAACATGTCTAATCACTATTAATGTTATTCATATTAAACCAATGAACAACGATGATAAGTAACACCAAATCAAATTATCATATTGGGTAAATATTTTGTACATCAGTGAGTAATATATACATAGTCAGTTGATTAATGATTCTTTTCTCTGAAATCCAATTAGCTTGAATATATGTCAGTCAGTCGGTTACAACGTAGAACCTCGTACATGAGTACATACCGCATCAGCACACACGCAACTGTCAGTTCAAATCTAATAGAGGAGGCGATAGTAGAAGTATTAGCAGTAATGGAGAAGATTGGGGTCCGAAGATATGATTCGAGAAGTATAATTCAGTGAGATAAATTTAGAAAGAGAAAGATGACGAGAGAACATAATGAATGCATGCATCTGCGCCAGTGCAAACGATTCTGAGCCATATCATTCAAGGTCTCTAACCATCGGTGACTTTCGTCTCGAGGACACCAACCAGGTAGCCTACATCTATCGACATGACTTAGTCCACTTGTCAGTGACTTCATGGATTTGTGCCATGTTTTGGTTTGGCAGTTCAATGTAGTAAATGTATTTATGATGAAACATTGACCTTATTTTATATACTCTAGATGCTTTTAGTAAGAACATGATGCAAAATACACTTTCAATCGTTGTTACATAAGAGTATGCCTTTACTGCATCAAAAGCGTAAGTTGTAACTTAACTCATGTATTGCAATACAACAAATGTTTTTGAAAAAACAATTAAACAAGATTACTGCAACCAACCAACTGAATCAAAAATATTTCATTGTGATTCAATTGAATGCCTAAAAAAACATACTGACTGTCGAAAAATCTTTAAACAGTCATTGGTTGAATGTATTTCATTCTAACTAGGGGAACAAAAGTTTATAATTTTAACAAGAAAGATTGAAAGAGTATGTAAGTAATGTATATGTAAGTAAGTAATCAGAGAAATAAACTAACCACTGTCCCAGGACGAGCACGCCATGTCCTTTGAAGTATTTCCATTAGAACTTCAACTAAACTCATATTTTGAGTAATAGACACGGAATTCGGTGGTAATTTCGATTCAAACGAATTAACACGATTAAGTTTTTTGAAGTGTGATTGTGTAGACATGCTAAGTTGTAAATCAGATCCAGTTGTACTACATAGACCTGGAAGACTTTGATGACGTCTTAATTGAGTATTTAATAGTCGTACAATAGCTGGTGGCTGGAATTCATCATCCTCACCACTATCATTTTCATTCTCATTAGTAACTGTTAGTCTATTTGACTTAAACGATAAAGGATTCCACCATAAATTCAAATTACTAACAAAGTCTTTACGTCTTGCAATATTTAAAAAAATCCCTGTAATCGCTACGAAAATATCTTCATGTGGAACAGAACGATTGCAAGCCATCATAATTTGAAAGAAACGAATAAGTGCACATGGTGAATCTGTATTTTGCTCATTAATAGATTCATTGCATATTGATTTATTATTAGGAGGCGGCGGTAAACCAACTGTCCAATAGCAAAGTTCTATGGACAAACCAGTAATTGTTTCTAAAGTGAAAATAGAGATTAAAAAAAAATAGAAAATAATGGTGATATGAGCCTACTGAGGTTATACACAAATTTTATAACGTATTTTGGGAGAGTTTAAGCAAAAACAAACTTGAAATGACAACAGAACCCGTATCTCTCATTATACCATACAACAAACAGTCAGTGAATACTAAGATAACTCACTCTTAAATTAATTTTTCTCTTTTACAGTTTAAATGTGATTAAACTAGATGTGTTATAGTGACTACCACATTGATAGGTTGGACGAAATTCGATTAAATAGACGGAAACGTAGTACTGCATATGGAAGAAATCACTATATTTAATAATGATATCAGTTTATTTGTCAACAGTCAGCATTGCGATGTAGCCAAATAAAGATAGCTTATATTCAACCATGCGATACGTGCTTTATTTACACTGGGAAAGGGATATTCACGATCTAAAATATCAACGTAAGATTAGCAAACACACATGCCTACTCTTTTAGCTACTACAATCAAAGAAGACAAGACTAATCATGATATAAAGGTATGAACTGTTTTGTTTTAAAAACAAGGTGTCAGGGATACATACTACTAAGTATCCAAATGATATACTCATCTCCCTTTTAACTTAACAGACTTACTTACAAACACAACAACGACCAGTAGCAAACAAGTTACCATAAACCGAATTAAGACGATGAATACATTAGGTAGATCATAATTTGCAGTTATCTAGGGTAACACCATATTAAGGTTATTTGTAATTTAATAAGCAGTCTTTTATCAAGTTCACTGAAATTTTCCGAAGTTCCATTGTTGCTACAGCAGCAACTCATGAACTAAGATCTAGAAAAAGTTAATCATTACAAACGAAATAACTAAAAGTAGAAGCAATTAATTCATCAACTCGGTCTGATGAAACCGACACACCAGAACAATATATAAAACAATAAATATTAACTGTAGTATAAACGAACAAATTTAAAGTAAACTATTCTCACTCAACGGATAACTACAATAAATAGTATATGCATACACACACACACAGCTGACAAAATACAGTTAATTAACACGGATAAAAAAATAATCATAATTCCTTATGTGAATAATATATATATATATCGACAACTATTACAATGACTTATCACTTAGTATGATCATTGATTAGTGATACGCATGAACGTAAACATGTCATTTTGATATGCTTGAATTATCATTACTAGTTTACCTTAGTCGGAGAACGAGAGCGAGGACCCGGCGACACGACATGCCACTCTAATCCGATTGTCCCAACCCCCATTGAGTGAAAGAAGAAGACTTGACATGAAGTAGAACCTGTATTCTACAAGCATGCAAAAAGTACAAGGTCTAAGTCCAGAAGAGAATCAGCATCCCGGACTAGGGATCCGGTCCATAAAACGTTACAGATAATGCGTATTTATACATTTAGGTCGAGAGGGAAACAGCATCGAAGTCTGTGACATTGACAGTTAAGACGACTAATACGAAACAACATTGGAGTACGTGACATTGATATCTAGTACGACTACAAAATTAACCAGTAGGAATTAACCAATAAGAATTGAACCGATAATTCTCTTAGGATATTGGATAAATATCCTAACAATTAGATTTGAAAATTAATTAGAATAAATAAGGTTTTAATCTTTACTACTCACCTAGAAGTCTGATTGCATCAAGTATTTGGTTTACCGATGTAGAATGAGAAATTTGTTTTAATGCATTTCGAGCTTTTGAAGCTAAAGTTAAATGTGGATTAGTGTGAGCAAGTTCTGTTGCTTTAGTCAAACGAGAACAAATATCTAGGAAAGACTTAGCTTCCAAGGGTGAAAGTGATAGCAAACACTTTTCTTTTTGAAGTGTTGACTTCGAATTCTGACAAATTGCAACAGATTTCGACTTGGATGTAACCGAAGAGACAGGATGCATTGCTCGGCTGCTTGTTTGACTTGATATTTTTGTACAGTTTGTCCCTTTTTTTGAAGACTGAGCTAAAGTGAACAAATGTTTACGAGTTCGAAAACCTTTCCATGCAGCTTGTATTCGTATAGTGGAAGAGCGTTGTTTAGCTATAAATTTAAAAAGGAAACATGCACGCCACCAACGTTGAATTGTACAAGCTGAATTATGACGTTTAAGAACGAGCAAAACGATCTGGCCAAAAAAATAGAACAGAAAAAGATTAATAATTAATGGAAATTGAGTAATATCAATCAACAAATAGTAGAAAACCATTGAGATTGTGTTATAAAATCAATACAGAGTAGATAACAGCAATACTAATTCTCTATGTATGAACAAAACGGAATCAACAAAGGCTCAATAATGAAAAGATAAAGCTAATTTCCCTTCTCTAAAAACTTCAGAAAAACAGAACGACCTAGAATTAACTAGGTTTTCTTGTGAAGTGACAGTTTTATGATGCAAGGAAGTTCTCGGTAAATATTTTTCGAATTCATAGTTATACCTCACTGAGCATTGCTGCTATCTGATTGAGTGTTTTCCTTCTCAGTCTATCACTTTTGTTATGCGCCTTTAGGATAATATTTGTTGCTGTATAAATAGAGTTCACCTTGGAGACCTGCTGCGGATATGGGTACGGCCTGCCACGAAAATTATACTTCCTCGCTCGGATTTTCAAGGGCCGACAAGAGCGTTCCGGACACCAAAAGAAGGGTGGTGTTTCACGGAGGTTAGCCCCCCATTTCCGGAAAAGCCGATTCCAGGGGATGAATGCACTCCTAACAAAGAAAAGAGAACTCTTCCCAGAACTCTCACCGACGTCTCCGAGGTCGGTTGCGTTACCGCGCTGGGCGCACACCGAACCAAAAGCTCAAGGCACACCAATCTCCGTGGACAGGGTCGGGAATATTAACCCGATTACCTTTCGCTATAGGGGGCTGTTACTCTACTAAAATTTTGACTTAATTGAATAGTTGTTTTGTTTTCTGAACTCCTCCTGACTACACTCTTTAATTAAGCGGGGAATTTATTGTTGAAGTATTGTGCATGAACCAATTAGTTTACAAAGATCCAATTTCGTATTAGAGGAATGTGTCAACCATTTAAGATTCGGAACTACCATTAATTATCACAAGACAGAATATTAATGATAATGTTGTTCGATCAATAAAAGTAACGTTACGGTTAAATTTAAAGCCTAGAAGTAATACGAAATGCTGGATGTTTAACACTAATCAAGAAAATAGAAAAGATAGCTACTCTGAGTGAACAATTCAACTGAGCACATTGGTTATGGAAATGAGTGTGTAAAGAGGCAAATCAGGTGTTGATTATGTTTAAATAATAAAGGGAAGAGTATTTATGAATAATTATGTTTTTGATTACATCTTTAAACTGTGTAATAATTCGTCGAGAGCGATGATAGCGCCAAAATAATTGTATTCGTTGAGCTGAACAATGCCATGCATTGATTTCACGTAATACTAAATATTTACGAAAATGTGATTGTATAATTGTGGCTGCTGAATTCCTTTTATATTGGATTGTTGCAAGACGATGTCGGGCCAAATAACCTCGTGCATGTTTTTGAATAGTGATACACCACTATGACAAAGAAAAAATAGATTAATATAATTTTTAAATGAGCATATTAGAAAAGAATTGAAGAAAACACTGAATATATATGTATGCATATTGATAGTTTATAAAATTGTAGCAAAATATTAAGTTAATCCGGGGTTTAGAAATGTGATGTGTTATGCTTTCACAATTTATGTTAAAACTGTATTATACTATCATTAAAATAGATGATTAAACATTTAAATTAGAAATCTGTTAATATTTGTTGAATGGTAAAAATTGATTCACCAGTAAAATTTACCCACTTTATGGTTCATTCATGAACTTGGTGATTTTTGTCAACAATTCTAATTTTCAAGCTCATAAATGTCATTACTAGAATTGTTAAGATATTCTATTGCTTTTCATTCTTCGTAAACAATTTTAAAATCTATATTTTTGTAGACTATTATAAAGCTATGGCTTTGTAGTCCATCAGTTGAGGTGATTGGGACGTGTTACGCATCGAGCTATGTTTTACGATGTAGGAATAAGTTGGGCGAAAGCTAGAGGCGGCCAAACCAACACATGGCACAAATACATGAAGTCACTGACAAGCAGTCTGAGCCATGTTGGTAGGCTGGTCGGGGACCGTGAGATGATGATAATCGATGGTTAGAGACCCTCAGTGACATGGCTCAAAACTGTTTGCAATGGCGCAGGTGCATCCATTCTTTGTGTGATCTCAAATACTAACCTTCGTAGTTTCCCATCACATTTATCTTTTTCGTTTGAGGTTTCTTTCACTAGATTCTAGTTCCTTAATAAAATTGTCGAACCGTAATCTCTCCGATTACTGCTAATACTTCTACTAAATCTACTAGTGTGGGATTTGAATCGAAAATTGTATCTCTGTGCTATCGTGGAATGGCAACTTGAACTGATGTACGTACGTACGAAGTTCTACGTTGCTGTTTACTGACTGACTCGTAGTCCAATCATCTGACTAGAAATAATCTCGACCTGCACTTTGTTTAATTGGAAACAAGTAGTCGAAATTGTATACAAAAAATTTCGACGTATGAAGTTGCGTTTAGTTATTTGAATCGTTATTAGATAGCCAGGTCATAGAATAAAAACTTGCACAAAACATGTGAATTAAACTTTATTGTACTGTGATATGTAATTGGTAGGGCTAAATATTGTAAAATCAAAGGAGACCTCACTAATGATGAATCTGATGAATTTAGAGAGGAGAATATAAGTTCAAAACAACCATATGGTAGTTGAACGTAATTGACATGGTTTCAGGAGTTCGTAAAAGATGGTCATTATGCGATGATGACAAATTCCGCCAGTTAACTTTATTCTCCTAGCCTTCAATGGAGTGAATTTCCAGGTAATTGAGTAGTAGTTAGAAAAAATCAGTAGCTTTTTTATGTACATAAACATATCTTAGTTGTTTATTCAGATAAAAAAAGCATAGACCCAGAACATCGCACTGGTAGCTTTGCCACTGTTTGATTACTCGCAAAACAAATAATTTCAGACTGGGAAATTATTACTGGTAAATATTAAATCGGTCGACATCTTCTAAGTTACAGTTTTTGTTTATTCTAGAAAATACTTTTTTTAATCAATAAGAATTTAGTTTAGTGGCAATTCAGAAGCGCTGATAAATGTAATCGAAACTCATTACAATGAATCCTTAGTATAATTTTATGTAAACCAAACACATTTCATTCTATCAGACGGTAGAATGAATCACTTTATGGTGAAGTAGAGACAGTACATAATCATACTAAAGAAGGTTCAAGTTCCATAAAAAGAAGATGAAATGATAGGCAGAAAATTTAATTGAGTGGAAATGGAATTTATCACTAAAAGCATACATACGATTAATCAGTACACTAAGAACCAAAAAGCTGGTTAATATTTTGAGTTTCAATATAAAAATGATATGATTCAATAACATAAGCTTTAGGTTTACACGAATGGAAAACTACCGATTTTAAGGACAGGAATCGTTGTCGATGGAAATAACCACGCCATCTACTCTGAATTTGAATTGCTACAGCATGCCAATGAGAAATTTCACGTCTAACCAAATAACTTCGGAAATATGACTGAATTACAGTAGCTGCCAAATTTCTTTTTGAACGTATCTCTGCAACAAATCTACGAGCATAATACCCGCGTACATATCGTTGAATTGTTAAACATGCCTAAGAAATCCAGTAAATTAGTGTTAGCACTCATTACTAATTAACTTTAATTTATGGGCAAGTGTATTTATTGAACATGTTATCAATAGTGCTGGTTCTATAAGGTCACGGATTTATGTGAATACTGTGGTACTGCTTCGACAACAGAACCAAAGCAAGTAGTTTAGTGAGCGATCACTCCCGCTAACATTTCCACTTTCAAGTTTAGTCAGAAACAGTCATAGGATACGCAGGTGTAGTATCCTACATGTAATTAATTAATTTTGGGGCAGAGTTTTGGAGATTTGTGTTTTTACACATTTGAAATCATCAATCAATCATTGTCAGACCACCATTAGAAACCTGGAAGCACTGAAAGACGGCCGTTTCGTCCTGCTATTGGACTCATCAGCAGTGCGCATCCACGACTTATGCACCTCGCAGGATTCGAATCCAGGACTTTCGGTCTTGCCGGCTAACGCCTAACTTCTGAACCACTGGGTCGGCATTCAACAATGTTAAAGTCTAACATTGATCAATCTACAGATTTTGCGCGACCTCACCCACCATAGAATATTTTATCACAACATTATAATCAAATTAGAATTAAACAGTTACAATTGTTAATTTGGAAACGAATTGTTGAACGATACCAGGTGAAGATATATGGAAAAAAACTACATACTGTAACCTAATAACAAAATCAAAGTTTGCATTTTATATTTCAATATAATCCAATCACTCATTAATTGAGGTTCGTAACTTATTAAACAATATTTTCGAACAAGACACTCTAATCACAGAACAACAACAAAAAATACACACCAATTAGTTAAAATTATCATCAGTACAAATATTAATTTGAGAAAAAAGAAGCGAATAAAAGAGTAGAAATAACTTTACTTAATATACAAAATAGTGAAGCTTTCTGAAGTATCAAAACATAAGACCTGATTGCTTAAAAATAAAGATTCGATTTATCTATAGTTTCATAGGACAAAAATAGAAATATGACTTAATCAATATACGAAAATAGTATTGATTGAATATAAAACTTACATATTTCAATTTCATGTATTTTTGATGAATATGATAACAACGCCAGGCACTTTGAATTCGGATAGCTGATTCATGCCAGTGTTTTATAGTACGTTGAACAATTAATTTTCGAAAATGAGATTGTATTATTATTGCTGCAGTGTGTTGTTGTTCTTGCAAATGTGCAACATATCTGCGAGCTAAGAATCCTCGTGAAAATGCTTGAAGTGTAATACAGAACTAAATAAATTAAGTGAGAAAGAACAGCAAGTAAATATCACTTTTCATACTGATAAAGTCTAAGGAGCATAAGACATATGCAAGAATTTGATCGACAACTTGGAAAACCATGGTTTACAGTAAATGTCATAAAGCCAAAGTAGAAATGTCATTGGGAAGCATTTTTGGTTAGGCAATAGAGAGAAAGTATTTGAAGAGCAATTACGTTAGTTTTCTCGGACCAGTAAATTTATGATTATTTAGTTACACACATACACACCGTCTATTTGATGTGCGTTTCGTCCTAACACAAAACTCAACTAGATATATCTGCATTTCAGTGAGACTCAAACTTAGTAACTTTCTTTTCAAACGCCAAGTAAAAGTGTTCATCTGCTATACATCTTAGCAACGAAACTCGCGTCTAGGATCACGTTGCTAACCGCTTGACAGCTTCAATAAAACTTGTGATTAAATGACAACGTTGAGAGAGTTTGCTCAGAATGTACATATGACCATAGAGACTGATCGATTGTAATAACCCAATATCAACAACAGGAAAATAGAAGCCTTTGAAAATAACTATCTTTTATCAGTCTGAATGGATGAAAGCAGAAAACGTTTAGATCTTACAAAAAACCCTGTACTATTAACATCGAGTTTTTAATTATCTGATACGTAGTTTGCTGTCATGCCATTAAGACTGAAGATCGCAAGCGAATTTGAGTGTTATATCCTTAGGATTATTTAATAACTAATTAGTTATTAGATTAATCTATCACTAATTACTTCGTCATCCTGAGGAAATCAAAAATCAATAGCTTTATCATGACCGGTTGTAGTTAAGTAAGCAAATAAACTAAACATATTAATAATACAGGTTGGGAAGAGTTACCTTTCTTAATAGGGTATAATTCCGGCGTGCTTGGTAACCACGCCAAGTGCTTTGAATTAAGGTAGCAGATTTGTGAAGGCTTTCAAGATAACATCGAGTCAAAAATCGACGAACATGAGACTGTATTATTGTTGCAGCAGTATTTCTCAAAGATTTGATCTGTGTGACTTGTTTGCGAACAAGATAACCACGTACAAATGCTTGGATGGTAGTGCATGCCTGGAAAGAGGATTTCAGAAAATTATGTACGCATTGTTCCAAATATCACAGTCATTATGACCGGTACAATATTTCTACTAGAGAAAAATAGTAATAATGATTGGTCGATAATTGGAAATATAACAACTTAGTAAGGGAGTCAAGAGCATATTCTTCTGCCGATGTGTTTGGGTCAACATTAAAAAATCCCTTAGCATTCAAGGGATTACAAGAATCAAACATCAAGAAATACAAAATGACTTAATCAATAAGAGCTTAACAAGAAATAGAGACATAATTATTACATGAGCAGGCTTTTGAAACGTATGTGACGATTTTGAAAATATATTACATTCAAACTTATATCTAATGGATGATTTCGAAAGTGTGTTGTTCAGCTAAAGAAAACAAGAGCCATACTTGATATGTACGCAGTTTTCGTGAAAACCTATTATTCAGTAAAGAACTAAACAGATTTGTTAGTGCATAAAGTATACAGAAAATACTTATCAATTAGTTGTAAGATTTTTTTTCAACTTATAGACTTACTTTAATTCTCTTTCTTTCATTACGCCATTCCCTAAAAGTAATTAGGAAATAATCAAGTGAAAACTTAAATAACATTATTCAAATACAAGCATAAATATGTATTGCTCATACCATCAAATAATAAAGTACATACTATAGAGATGTCAATGATCTAAGCTATAAAAGTAACATTTTTTTAAAGATCATATGCACTAAGATAGAAATTGTTCAACTGTGCACATTTTGACTTATGTAGTTGGAACAACATCGATGAATAATCTACAATTCTGTTGTGGAACAAATCAACACAAACCATGTGATCCCCTCTTCTCATTGGTAATTTCTGTTGCTTAAAGGTGTCTTACAAAGAGTGGTGTATTTCTTAAATATTAATAGAATAGGTTTTGTACGTCAATATTCTGCAACACAGTTAGAAAAATACATTAGAAAGGCGGATGGATATAGATAGAGATTAGATTTATTGTTAATTTGTGTTGTATTATCATCAGTAGGAATTCATTTCGATTCAATCCACTCGGTCATATTAATTACATGCATCAAATATAACTTTCTAACCGTCTACTAATGCTCGAGTCAAATGATAAAATTGGAGGTAGATTGGAAAGAAACCGAGTAAAGTCACTATTGATTCATTGTTTAAATGTTGCCTTATTATTATTATTGCTCAATCTCAAGTTATATGTGTTATTGTAATTTCATTTTAATCAACTGGTTGAATGAAAATAAACGTATGAATATTAGAGAATCTTAAACAACTAATATTGAATATTTATATATAGATAGATACATAGATTTGGATTTAGCAATTATCAAGAAAACAAACAATAAGAACTACAAAAATATACTGTTAAGGACGTTAGATCCGCAGAACGCACTTGATAAAGTCCCTAATTTTGGATTTTATGTTTTCCAGAATGGGCTGATCAGTTGACCTTGAGATTACATTTCCCATTCGGAAAATCCTTAACTGTCATTAATTGATGGATTACTTTAGCACGCTATTTTGTGGCTCTCCCAAGACGGTTTCTATCATGTATAAATAAACTCGATTTGTGCGCTTAGCAACCTCATATTTTCTGGGTGCTTGTAGAATACACTTTCTACGTCTTGTCAAGACATCTTCTTCTACTTAATGGGGCCTTGGGACGCTCGGATAAGAGTAGCCTATCGTGTCACTGGATCATTTGTATTCACTGTCGTTTACCGACTAAGGTGAACTCGTAATTGTTTCAAACGTATCAATTTACGAGCATATCATATACTAAACCAAATAATCAATATTACTTTATTTTTGAATTTGTCAAAAAATATCAATATGACCAATTTTAATAGGTTTTGTGGAATTTCTCATTTCACAGATGACATGAATGAAATGTATATATTCCATAGAAATGAGCTATTATCTGTAGAAAGATAAACAGAGCTATATAAGATGTTAAATATAGAGAAATTCCCAATGTTAAATTGATTCGGACAATCAACTTCTAAGCTTTAAACCCACCTTCCATAGGGTACTAATTTCAACTTTGAGAAAGTAACATAATCTTGAAAACGGCGCCATGCATTTTGAATAATCGATGCAGCATTATCACGAATAAGCAGATTTAATTTGTGTTTCTCTGAAGGACCAACAACCAATCTGTTAGCCAAATAGGCTAAAATAGTGATAACTAATCCAGGTGGAAGAATATTACTAAAATTAGCCGATGAAATTGGAGTAGAAAGAAGCAGTGGAACATCGCCTAGAACTGAGAGCTGGGTAAAAGAAAAATATATAATCATTTAAAAATAGAAAATATCAAGATAGGATTTAATATACATTTCATAATTCTTCTCACTAGTTTGTAGACGTGAATACTAAAGGTGTAGGGTAAATGCATATAACTAGTATTTGACCACAGATTTCTCCACAACACTATCCATCACCTGTTTGCAAACTAAAATATGGTTTATACTAGGGTTAAGCGCAGGACTTTAGGTACGGAAAGTAGGTTGTTTAGTCGATCAGATTTGTGAACTTGCATTAAATGAGATGATTGACTCATGTGTTACACATAACAGGTCATCATCTTTACTCATACGTGATGCGAGCAGAAATGAAATTAAACTGGAAAAGTTAAGGTGACTGAATCAAAACAGAACATTGATCCATTGAGTTACTAATTATTTGTCTCGGTTATGCAGGTTTCTGCGATCAAGCAATTTAAAATTACCTACCGAAAGTTATAAGGAAAACATTACTCAAAGATTTGTGTACTAGACTACGAGATAGGGTTTACCAGAGCACAATTAAACCAAGACTGAAGATATGCTCTCACAAAACACCTATTAGCCCTAGATGAAAAGTCAACATTTAAAGAAATTCACACTAAGCATCAATAAACTTTATAAAATAACTTTTCTTTGCATTAACTTTAATCGAAAACATACTTTCTTTTGAAACAACGATAAATTGAAAAGATTGTTACGTATAAGTAAGGAATCTGGCAGAGGAACTGACAAGTTATTAGTGTATGTTGTGCATTGACGAATTAAACCTTGAGGTAAAACAGTTGGTAAATAATGATGTAACAGATAACATAAAGCTCTGCCATCTGTAAACGATTCATCCAAACTAATTACCTAGAAAGATGATAAAAATATAATGAAGAGTCCAATGTTTAAAATCATTAAAAATAGTTTTAGAATATGTGAAACGATATATAGTCATCATAGACTACCATAATGCTACGCTCGTCTCATAGATACAATGAAACGTCATCATCATTATCATCGTAAGATTTAATAGATCAATATGGATCGAACCAAGTTGGCAAACTAAAATATGCTTTATACATTGGGTAGGGTGCGAAGAATGAGGTTCTCTGTAGACTCTTGACAAAGAGTAATCCACATGGGTTATTAGCGAGATTATAAACTATAACAGAATGAATTATTTAGAGGATGCCTTATTAGGAATCAACTTTAAACAATCTGGATTATAAGTGGAACTAAAGGACATCAGTAAAAAAGGTCAAAGAAGGCTTACACACACATTGACTTACCGGAACATTATACAAATGACAAACTAAGGCAGCCCAGTAGAGTAATTTGAAATGAGCCAAATGATCTTTATCATCATTTACATTATTGTTAGTGGACATGCTTAATTTGATATTATTAAATTCATTCATACATTTATCTGTATTGATTGAGGTGATACTTGTTTCAAGAGAGTGAATTTCATTTTCTAATGCTGAATGATCAAGTAAGGCCAGAACTTGATGACGTAACAATAAGCACCAAAGTAGTGTAAGGGTTTTTTCTCGATGTCCATCAACAATATCACGAGGATCAATTAAGCTCCCTTTGGTAAGAACAAAATATAAACAAAGAAGAACTGTAAGATTATAAACAAATGGCGCACTATAGAATCATACAAAGAGACATTCATCAATAAACAAAGTGAAGATTTCCATAAATATGCATTGATTTATGTTACCACATTTCATATTAGTACACAGATATAGTGATGAAGGTGGAAGAATAATATCAGTGACAGTTGAATACCAAATGTAATCTCAAATAAGTGAATGCTACGTATGAGATAAAATTAGGCTCAAGATTTAGTGGGAGTTGAGAATACATACATGTAACTCATTTGCCAGGTACAAAATCGCATACTTCACTTGGAGCCACAACATATATGAATGGTGTTACTACGCCATTGCCCAAACCTAAGTAGATAGAGCAAGACGCGGGGATGCGACCTAGAGACTGGAACGATTAGTGTAGAATGTACGACATATTTAGAGTGTTAGCAGATCGATCATTCTAAAACTGTATCTCCTATGACAACCTGACAGACAGACAGATACAAAGCAGAAATTCGTACATAAGTACATCAGTTCAGGTTGCCATACCACGTCAGCACAGAGACGTAAATGTCAGTTCAAATCCAAGAGTGATAGCGATAGTAGAATTATTAGCGGTAATGGAGAAGACTAAGGAGCGAAGATATAATTCGAAAAGTATAGTTCAGTGAGATAAATTTAGAAGGAGAAAGATAGAGATTATGAGGAATTCAGAAGGTTAGAATTTGAGAGAACACATCTATGACAACCTAAATGATAAACTTATCGCATTCCATCTAAGGACATAATAGGTTATAATATAATACACAGTTCCCAGTGTTTTACATATTGTAGAACTAAAAAGAAAGACTAAATTGTGTCAATAAATATATAATTAGTTATGGGAAAAATAGAAAATGAAGGATGAACATTTGTCAGCACCTATGAAGGAAATTTTACTAACATAGTTAACTCAGTGACACTGTCTATGTAATAACAAGTCTAACTTTTGTGAGACAATAAATTACTAGCTGCAATAGACATAAAAATATATGATAAAAGGTTAGGTGAGACTACCAAACTATAAAAACATACCGTCTGCCATTGAGATTCGACCATACTGTTCAAATGACTTTAAAGCAACTCCAACATTGTGTATTTTTTGAAGGCGACTTATAGCAGGGAATCGAACCATCGACATAGGACTATTCTGTCTGACGATAGTAGATGGTTTATCAGTAGACAAGGTAGGAAGCAATAATTCTGCAAGTTTCCTAAATAACAATTAAAAAAATAACTATTAGATTTAACAGATGCAGTCAAGCGCCGGGAAGTGATGAAAGTCATTATGTACAACAAGGAATATAAATATCTATTTATTATACTATAGAACTTACACCAAACGAACACCATCCCTTAAGTCTACAGCCAAGTTTTCAACTGTGAATTGATATTCATCCAATGGTGTTTGATTTACTGTGACTTGTGCTCCCAGACAGGCTAAATGACGAACAAGATTATTTTCACCATGAAGAAAATTTTGTGCAAACGATAATAAGAGCGATGAAGAGGACTGAAATAAGATAAAACAAAGGATATTAAGAAACAACAAGCATAATACAAATGGAAGCTATACGGTCAAAATCCAAAATAAGAGTGTGAAACTTTATTGTTATATTCAGACAAAACATTGATTAGTTTGTAGTGGGTAACATTGGGCACACAACGTTTTATCCATTATTGACCTATTTCCCAATCAAGTGCTTTAGTTGAGACTTGAACGTGAAAAGCAGTCAAAGCATAATTTTGTATATCACTTAATAAGTTAGACAGATTATTTTTTGAGTATGGAAATAAGTATAAATAATCAATAGGTTATTGTTTGCTACAGTGTATGGATCATAAATCATCACTAAAAATGGAGGGAAAAACAAACAAATAAGTATAATAACAACTATGAATTTCGAGATAATCCTAACTAGCTGCAATAAAAATACGACCAATAAGTGTAAATTGAATCGGGGAAATAAATATGCAAAGAACAGTCTACATCAGTGTCAATGAGTGAATTCTCATGCTTTTTTACTTTAAATGAAAACAAACAGCCATATTATTTGAGTACGTCATAATTCATAAAATGTTTATTTTTAAACGGAATTATCTTGAAAATTATCAATCATTGTGGTGGTGTTTGGTTCTCTGAGCTGGATGTTTTGGTTGTCAAGCTTTCATTGTTCTTCTGAACAACATCAGCAGCACAAACTTAGATAGAAGTGAAGCATTCAAATTTCTCCACGTTTGACCTGTAGCTTGTTCTGCTAACCTCGATCTTGATTGGTTGTTGTTGACCTTAAACCTGTCGTTGCTTGCACCTTTGTTTTGATTGTATCCCCCCTTTTGATCTGTTTCTTGATCCTATATCACCTATGATTTTTCTGATCGGTTGATAAATTGAGTCAATGTCGATGTGTTTGTTGATTGCTGATTGACCTGAGTGCCAAGCTTCTAAAAATTCTCTAGTGTTCTTTGTCCTCCCCCTACCCCGTATTTCCACATTGTTCCAATCGAATGTATGTCCATACTTGTCCGTATGTACTGGTATAAGCGAAGCTTTGTCGTGGCGTTTGATTGCTAATTGATGTTCACGTACACGGAGCTGAAGAGGTCGTCCACTTTGTTCTATGTAGTGTTTTTCACAGTCTGAGCAATTTATATTGTAGATGATATTTCGTTTTTCTTCATTTGTCATTTTGTCCTTTGGTCTACATAGGATTGATGGAAGTGATTCTGTGGGTTTGTGTGCCACACCTATTCCAAATGGTTACAGTGGTAGTGTTGTATGCTCCGATATGTCTTTTATGTGTGGTAGGATGATCCGGTTGTTGGTTCCTGTACTTGATTTCGCTTCCGTTGACGATTTCGTTTGATGTTTTTTGATGAAGTTGCGTGGATGGCCGTTCTTTTGGAAGATAGTCACAAGGTGTTTTTACTCGTTTTTTAGTGCTTCGTATGTGCTGCAGTGTGTCTTCTCTCGAAGACGTCTTCGATGACATAAAATTCACCGTGGAAAAAGAATCAAACATCAGTCTATCATTCCCAGATAAACTAATCACTAGAACTAACACAGGAAAACTGGAAACTCAAGTATTTCGGAAGCCAACTCACACAGACGTAATTCTCAACAACACAGGAACCCACAGAATCAACTGAATACAAACTTTGTTCAGGTCAAATGTGGAGAAATTTGAATCCTTCACTTCTATCTGAAGTTTGTGCAGATGAAGTGTTTCCGAAGAACAATGAAAGCTCCACAGCCAAAACATCCAGCTCAGAGAACCAAACACCACCACCACCACAATCATCCACCCGAGCTACAAATCTTCTCCACCATCTCACAATTATCAATCAATTTGTAGCGTTCAACTAAGACTATCATCACATACATACAGAAAGAATAAGTATTCATTCATCAACGAACCAATTTAATCATAATTTGATTCAACAATAGATGACAGTTTATACTGTTCTCGTTTTTTTTGTCTTATATTTAATATATGATATTTTAATTTATATTGTCAGTTCAATTACAACTTACTTTTATGGGAGATTTAATACGAAATAAGCATGGATCATATTTGATTAACATGTGACTTTTAAAAGAATCTATAATCCAAATAAAAATAATGAATCGTTTGATGACATGACGATTATATAGGATATCACGATTTGGTGGTTTATCTGTAAAAAAAAAAGATATAAATAAACGTTAAAAAAGAATTCAGTTAATAAATAAAATGAAGCTGATAAATTTTTTAAAATCAATTATTAGATTTGCTAATATATATATATATATTGTACTGTGTGTACTCAAATTAATGTACAATTACCACAAGGTGTCTTTGTAGTGCATGTTGAGCCCACACGACATGTCTTAACTTTCAGACAAACTAATTAACTTTTTCTGTCTGAGACATTATTCACATGCTCTCTCTCATAGCTTGATTGTTTTTATTCCAGTGTGTATGCGCATTGCTTACTTCGCTTATTACAACATGTCTAGCTTATTCTGTGTCTGATTATTATTATTAAGTGCTTAGTCATGGGTCTCATTAATTACATTGAGTTGGTTCGCCGGCCTTCTCCAGTTTGTTTAGCTTTCAAGCTATGTAATCTCCTGTTTATTTGAATGAACGATTGCTTGAAGTAGATAGACTGAGGCAACAGAATCCGTATTTCGTTTTTAATTGCCGCGGTTGCACAAACGGGGTTCGCTGAAGTATGGTGTACAAAAATTGAAGGGGACATTAATTTCACAGCATACTCGAATGTCATGAATCAAAGAGTAAGCTCACGGGCTACTTGAAGTAGTCAGACTTACCTCCAGTTTGACGCAGCCACAATATATTCTCTTTCAATGTGATACACAGTGAAATTAACAATGTTCATAACATTAAAAATTTTAATAGTTAATGTGCCTATGTGCCTTCAACAAACTGGTCATCGGCGGTACAATATTCCCACACAAACGCATACACAAAGCTACAAGGATTTCACCGGATCATACTACTCAAAAACAAATCGACCATATATGTATCAATAAAAAGTTCAGAAGGACGAACGATAATATGTGGAAAATTTAGTAATAATGGCAGAAAAGGCTGCAAGAGAAGGAAACATGAGAGGATTGTACGATACAACAAAGAAGCTCGCTGGAAACTATCGTAAACCGGTGGGTAGAGCACTTTAAGAAACTCTTGAATCGACCAGCCCCACTGAACCCACCTAACATCGAAGCAGTAACTACGGAACTCCCAATCGATGTTGGCGCACCTACAATTGAAGAGATCAGTATGACCATCGAACAACCCAAGAGTGGCAAAGCAGCAGGACCAGACAACATTCCAGCAGAGACAATGAAATCAGATGTAGAAGCAACTGCAAAAATACTTCACATTCTCTTCAAGAAGATTTGGGATGAGGAACAAGTACCATTAAACTGGAAAGAAGGATACCTCATCAAAATACAAAAGAAAGGCGATCTCAGCAAGTGTGAGAACTACAGAGGGATCACTCTTTTCTCAATACAAGGTTAAGTCTTCAACAGGGTATTGTTAAACAGAATGAACGACTTTGTAGACGCCCAACTTCGAGATCAACAGACTGGATTTCGTAAGGATCGATCGTGTACTGACCAAATTGCTACATTACGGATCATTTTGGAATAATCAATTCAATGGAACTCACCACTCCACATCAACTTCATCGACTACGAGAAAGCATTCGATAGCGTGGACAGGAAAACACTATGGAGGCTTCTTCGACACTACGGCGTGCCTGAGAAGATAGTCAACATCATACGGAATTCTTATGATGGATTAAACTGAGAAATCATGCACGGAGGTCAGCTGACAAACTCGTTTCAGGTGAAGACCGGTGTCAGGCAAGGTTACATTATTTCGAAGCTAGTACTCCTTATTTTTGCTTAACAGTAAAAGACTGTATACATATGGAAGAGGTAAGTATTAAAGTATTTTATTCCCTTAAACGTTTATGAATACACTTACTTGATTTTGTCGAGTTCGAATCGTTTCTAGCTGTATGATGAGACGACTGTTTTAATATTTTATTATTAGCAGCCTGTTTGATCGGTAAAACTGGTTTATTTAGGGCGAGAGAATCGAAAAGGTAATTGTGTATTTTCTTGGATAAACAGGTTGTACACCCGATTTTGTTATCTTCAGAGTACGGCTGGTCATTATTGTGTGATGTGACTGATGAATTAGACTGAGTTGAGGATGAGCTAGTTAATGCATCCAAAGTAAGATGAAGCCAGATGGGAGCATAATTTAATATCAAATAATCTTGAATTCGACGTTGCGAACCTTGAATTGAAAGCAAAATAATATATACTCATTATATAATCAAAAGTGTAACAATGAACATACACTATGCAAACAGTTAATACATACCTTTATCAACACGAAATGATAGTAGTTGGATAGGTGTTAACTTTCCATTGTCTACTTCACGTTCAATGCGTTCTCCAGGAGCCATAATATTAGTTGAAGTTAATAATTCAACTGCTTTTTCCACTGCCGAGTGATACATACTTGATCCAACTGTACAAATGTCCTTGGACAAATTTGTCGGATGTCCGTTGTAACTATTAGCTGCGATACACGGAGCAAATACACTATTCAACCATTGAGTCAAACCATAAACACTCATTTCGGATAAAACAGAGGTTACATTAGTGTAAAATAGATTACCATCCTGTTTCTTTTTGTAGGTGGATAAAGGTCCACAAGTGACTGGAAAACAAAGCGAATATGAAAATAAGGTAGAATATATACATTCGTTAGAAATGAATATTGGATGTTTTTTATATTGAAATAATACGCGATACAGTCAGTCAGTCAGTCAGTTGCAACGTAGAACTTCGTACGTATGTACATAAGTTCATGTTGCCATACCACATTATTAGCACAGAGACGCAAATGTCAAATCAAATCCCATAGTGATAAAGATGGTAGAGGTATTAATGTTATAATAAAGAAGACTAGGGTTTAAGATATTATTCAAAGAATATAATTCAGTGAGATAGGGTTAGAAAGACAAAGGTAGAGGTGGTGACGAATCCAGAAGATTAGGATTTGAGAGAGCTCAAAGAGTGGATGCACCTGCGCCATTGCAAACGATTTTGAGCCATGTCGTTCAAAGTCTCTAACCATTGATGACTTTCGTCTCGCGGACCCCAACCAGGTAGTCTACATCTACCAACATGACTCAGTCCACTTGTCAGTGACTTCATGGATTTCTGCCATGTTTTGGTCTGGCCGCCCCTAGCTTTCTTCCAACCTACTCCCACACCACAAAACATAGCTCGTCGAGGCAGTCGGTGGTTAGGCATACGTAACACATGTCCCAACCACCTCAACTGATGAAGTTTCACCACTTCATCGATTGATCTGCCATCCTTACCTAGTACTCGTTTCCTAACGACAGCATTGCTTACTCGGCTGTCCCACGATATACGAGCAATGCTTCGAAGACACCTATGATCGAATACTAGTAACCTACGAACATCTTCTACTCTTAACGGCCATGTTTCACAGCTATATAAGAGAACGGAACGAACTGCTGCGCAGTACACCCGCCCTTTGGTTAGCGAACGGATATCACGCCTACGCCATAAGTGACGCAGGTTGGCAAAAGCCAATCGAGCTTTCTGTATCCGAGCTGAGATTTCGTCACTCACCAGACCGTCAGCACTGATGAGACTCCCAAGATAAGTGAAGTGATCTACACGCTCGACTACTTCACTCCCTATCACTAGTTCAGGTGCCGAAGCAACCCAGTCTTGAAGCAACATTTTGCATTTCGAGGGGGAAAACCGCATCCCGAACATGCTCGCATTGTTGCTTATGGTAGTCAGAAGACTCTGCATTTTGTCAGCGTCTTCACCGAATAGAACTATGTCATCGGCATATTCTAGATCACTAAGCGACTTTCCTGGTAGAAGGTCAACCCCTGAAAAATCTGACGAGCTTAATGTTAACTCTAAGAGGATGTCTACGACAAAGTTGAACAAGAATGGAGAGAGTGGACAGCCCTGACGGACACCACTTGAAGTAGAGAATTCAGATGACAGTTCGCCATATGCTCTCACCCGACCAGTGGTGTTCGAGTAGAGTGCTTGTATAAGGTTAATGTACTTCTTTGGTACACCTTTCAATGACAGACACTGCCACATAACCTCACGATCCACTGAGTCGAAAGCCGCCTTAAGGTCCAGGAACACGACTATTGTCGGACGTCTAAATGTGTGTCTGTGTTCCAGGACCTGTCGTAGTGTGAAGATGTGGTCTATACAACCACGTCCAGGTCGAAAACCAGACTGGTTTTCTCGAGTCTGCTCTTCGCGAGCTCTAGTTAGACGTCTAAGTATAATCGAGGCTAACAATTTAGAAACTATATTAGTTAAACTTATTCCCCTGTGATTGTCACAAGAGGACTTCTGTCCTTTCTTGTAGATTGGGACAATTAGCGACTGTGACCAGTCAGATGGGATTACGTCCATTTCCCAGATTCTACCTAGGATCTCGGTCAGTTTAACCGTTAAAACTGGACCACCATCCTTAAACATCTCAGGGGTAAGCCTATCGGGACCTGCCGCTCTACCTCTCCTTAGATTTCCTATAGCTTTCTCAACTTCATGTAAACTGGGAGGACTTAAATCGATTTGCCATTCAGGATGACTGGCGATCGTGGGCAACCGAAGAGTGGCTGAAGGCCAGTTGAACTGATCCCTAAAGTGTTCTGCCCATCGGTCCAGCCTCCTAGATTGAGAATGGATAATAAGACCATCCTTTTCCGAGATAGTCTCGCTTACATTCGGGTTCCTAATACCGGTTTCTTTGATAAGGCGGAAAAGTTGTCTGGTGTTGCCGATCGCCGCTGCCTTTTCCATCGCTTTTGCTTTCGCCACCCACCACTGTTCGCGATCGTTACGTAGGCTTTTTATAAGTCTGCACCTAAGCTGACTACGCTCTTCATCATGTTTAGAGTCAGGTGGGATGCGTTTTCGAGCATCCATCAGTTCTGTGGATGCTACTGAAATCCACTGCTTCATCCTAGCCTGGTGGTTTACCTT